AACACTCTTTTCCTTCTTTCTGGGAATTCCCCTCACCTCTCTTCTGTGTTCTATCTCCTGTTTCCTGAATCTTAGTTCTTCCTCTTCAAGGAGGAAGAATTCTCTCATTTTGGTGGAGTGCATTCTCCAGTAAGGTGATATTTTGAAAACTTACTCATAGAAAACCTCATGTATCATGGAAATAATTTCTTTCAACATTATTTCCTTCCTTTTAAAGGCATTGCTCCATTCTTTCTCTAATTTAGCTGTTAGAAGTTTAAAGCCAATTGGGGCGCCTGGGTGGCTTAGTCGGTTAAGCGTCCGACTTTCGCTTAGGTCATGATCTCGCGGTTGGTGGGTTCGAGCCCCGCGTCGGGCTCTGTGCTGACTGCCAGCTCAGAGCCTGGAGCCAATTTCAGAGTCTGTGTCTCCCTCTCTCTCTGACCCTCCCCTGCTCACGCTGTCTCTCTCTCTCTCTCCTAGAAATAAATAAAAAATATTAAAAAAAAATCTTAAAAAAGAAGTTTAAAGCCAATGATTCCCTATACTTTCTATGTGACCTGTTCTTCTTTTCTCTGGAAACTTATAGAATATCCTCTTTCAGTCAGGGGTTTTAAAACTTTAACTGATATACACTTTCTATCTGCATGTTCTTCAGTTTCATGAAATTTTCTTGCATTGAAATTATTTCAGTCTTCCAACTTGTTATTTCTTTCGAGAAATTTCTATTATTTGGTGTTGACTTCTTTGGCTGGTTTAGGTTTTGATCCACTTATTAACAATAACAATCTCTTATTCTTTTTGCTCTAGTCTCTGAGTGGTTTCCTGTCTTTATTTTCCAAATCTTCTACTGAGTTTTTCATTTATGCGATCTTATTTTTAATTTCTAAGAGTTTTGTTGTTGTTGTTATTCTCTGAATGCTTTTAAAAGTATAATTCTTGTCTTTATTCATGAACACAGAAACTTCTCATCTTCCTGAGGAATGCATGATATGTATTTTTTAAAGTTTCCTTCTTTCTAAGCTGGTTTCCTCTGAATTGGCCTTCATTTAGATAGAGACTAAAACTAAAGTATCTTTCACATAAGATATGTTCCTCAGATATGTGAGGGCCCTTTCCTAGCCGCTCATGATTATGAATGAAGGGAAGAGCTGATTGGAAGTTGACTGTGTTTATTGACCCTGAACTTCACTGTGGGGTAAACTAGGTGAGCCATTTATTGAAGAATTGCAAATGTCACTATATTATTTCCTATTGTTGTGGTGACAAATAACTCCAAACTTAGTAACACAAAACAACAAAAGTTGTTATCAACTTATTATCATATAGGTCTGGGAAGTCCAAGCCCAAAGTCAGTTTCACTGTCCTAAAATTGAGATGTCAGCAGGCCCAAGTTCCTTCTGGAGGTCTCAGTGAGAATCTATTTCCTTGACTTTTCCAGCTTCTGTAGGCTGCCTGCATTCCTTGATTGATCCCTTTCTTCAAAGCCAGAATGGTAGCAGTTTCTCTCCTCTCCGATTCCTGTTTCTGTCCTTATATCGTCTTTCTCTGAACATACTTGTCTCCCTCTTATTATGACCTTTGTGATTATGTTGGATTTACCTGGGGAATCCAGGATATTCTCCTCTTTTTAAAATCCTTAATTTAATGACATCTGTAAATTCCATTTCTAGGTAACATAGTCACAGTCTCTGGGATTAGGACATGGACACTTTGGGGGTTTTATTCAGCCTACCACAGTCAGTATCTAAATTTTCCTTCTGGCACTGGCCAGACTCCCTACAAGAGGCTCCAACTTGGAAGGGAAAATTCTGGCTACCAGTGATTCTGAGATCAAAGTGGATTAAAAGGGCATGGGGGCAGGAGTGTCTCAGTATTCCTTATTCAGGATGTAACAGTCACTTAATCTCCCTAGTTTTGGTGCAGAATCCCTATCTTTGGTGAATCTAGTTCCTTCCAATTCAGAGATCCTCTATTTTACCCCTTACAGAAAATAAACTTTCAAATGCCTACCACTTTCCAGTGATATGGAGAGGAGAAGGGATACAGGGACTCACCTAATCCTTCTTGTTTGATGGTCTTCCTTTACTCCCAGTTCCAGATGTATCTGGTGCTATCCATCCGGGAATCTTGAAGATTCTGCCATGTAATTTATGCCAGCTCTCAGCTTCCCACCCCCACTCCTGAAGCTTGGGATTTTCGTGATTTTTTAGCTGGTTTTGTCAGTTATGTTTTATCAGTATGTTTTGTAGCTTCCATAATTTTATTGCTGTTGTCTCCTCCCCTAATCTCTGCATATTTGTTGGTTTATGTCTTTAAAAAAAAACTTTATTGTAAATTTAGTGTGATTTCAGGCAGGAATGAAATTAGAGAGAGAGTGTGTGTGTGTGTGTGTGCGCGCGCACGTTTTCATATTAATGCAGAAAAAACATTTGATTTGAATTGGTTTTGTTCCTTGGGTCAGGCATGGGCTGGCTCTGTCCAGGATAGCTAGGCAACACGTCTAGTATTTAGTATAGGATTTTAGTAGCCAGGTGGTTGTGTGCTGCCCTACCCCTGCCCAATCACACACTCAAGCCTAACTTCTTGCCTTGGTTTCCTACCAGGTATCCCAGTTCCTCTGGCACTGGAATCTTGTCCTTAATTCTCACAAAGCAGGAAGCAGAACTGACAGGAGTCATTCTGAATATAAATAGTTGTAGTTTTCAGAATAGTACCCTTTCATGGTAGCTTGTTTTTTGTTTTTGTTTTTTTTAAGTAGGCTTTATGCCCAGCATGAAACACAACATGGGGCTTCAACTCACGACACTGAGATCAAGACTTGAGCTGAAATAAAGACCTGAGCTGAAATCAAGAGTAGATGCTTAACCTACTGAGCCACCCAGACAACCCCTTCCTTGTAGCTTTTCAGTGGGATGGAAGTATATAGGCCAGAGGCTTAGGGTTTTAGGACCCGAATTCTGGTGGCTATTATGTTTACACTCTCCAAACATGTAACGAAACAAAGTGCTCTCATGTTCACCTCTCTTGCACTTTCTCTAGCTTAGCAGTGCCCTGCCACTTACTTTTGCCTGCTTTACCTTTCCCTCCCCAGACGTCTGACCCTACTCTCTCCCCTAGAACCTAGGATCATTCTTTACTCCCTTCCCCTTCTGTTGTATCTGTGGTATTTCCAGGTCCCAGTCATGCAAATCTGTTCCAACTACACTAGGTTCTGATTTATATCACCATGGTTCTAAGAGCTTTATGTGTACCAACTCACAATCTGCACAACAACTCTATTTTTATTCCTACTTTGCAAATTCAGAAACAGAGGCACAAATACCTTAAGTAAACTTGACCAGGATCATACAGCTAATAAGGCAGAGCCCAGATTTGATTCTGAGCATTCTAACTCCAGAGAACATCTTGAAGCCACTACATTATAGGGGTGCCTGGGTGGCTCAGTTGGTTAAGCATCTGACTTTGCCTCAGGTCATGATCTCATAGTTTGTGAGTTTGAGCCCACTATTGGTCTCTATGCTGACAGCTCAGAGCGTGGAGCCTGCTTCAGATTCTGTGTCTCCCTCTCTCTCTGTCTTTTGACTCCCGCTCTGTGTGTCTCTCTCTCAAAAATGAATAAACATTAAAAAAAGTTTTTTTTAACTACTACATTATAGATTACTTATAAATTGCAACCATGTGCCAAACTGTTTTCTGAGATGTGTGTGTGTGTGTGTAGATTATATATTTATATAGATTATATAAATTTATATTATATATAATATATAAATAATATTATACAAGTTAGCATACATATATACACCCATTTAATCTTCATAGATATTACAGATCAAGCAACCAAAAAGGAAAGAAACCAAGGACCTGAACGACAGAATTAACAACTTCTCCTATAGAGGAGTTTCTTGAACCCAATATTTGGAAAAACATATACTTTTAAAGTACACAAAATATTTACAAATAGTAACTATAAAACATGTTTTAAAAGTGTTCAAAATATCAGAATCATATAGACCACATTGTATAATCACAATATAACTAAGCTGGAAATCAATTAAAAAAACCCAAACTCATATATTTGGCACTTTTAAAAGCACATTTAAAAACACATAGACAGGAAAACATCATAAAGAAAAGAAGAAGATATTTATAACTAAATAATAGGGAAAATATAACATTTCAAAACTTGGAAGTTGTAACCATAGTGCTACTTAGAGAAAAAGTACGAAGTCTTAGATGCTTATTTTAAGAAGAGAAAAAGAAAGGTTGAAAATTGATAAGCTAGGCATTGAATTTAAGAAGTTAGAAAAATTACAATGAGATTGAAGCAAGGGAAATAAGAGAGATATTGCAAATATAAAAGCATAAATGCATAGAACAGAATTCATTCCTAATTAGAATTAGCTAACAATAAATAGTCCACCTCTCTGAGAATTAGAAAATGAAGAGTAAGAAAAAGGGCTATAACACACATGCCTTCATGTTTAGGGCTTTTGTATTTTCAGCTCCTTAAATAGATTTTACAGAAAGGATGAGAGGATACTTCGTTTTTAAATGAGATTTATTTTTTCTCATTATTTAATAAATACATTTTCAAATGAAAATTTGAAAAATCTAAAACAATGTGGAGAAAAGAAACATAAGTCATAATCCCATCACTAGGGAATAACTGTTGACTATTAACATTTAGGTACTGTTCCCATCTTTTTTGGTCCGTATCTGAAAGTTTGTACACGTCTGCAGGTAATCAGATGGTTATTTAGAAATTTGGGCTCAAACTGCACACATAGATTTGTATTTAGCTTTTTTCTTTGAAAGTGCTTCATTAGCAAATGCTCTTTAAAATCAAAATTTGGATGGGGGGCACCTGGGTGGCTCGGCTGAGCATCCGACTTCGGCTCAGGCCATAATCTGACAGTTCATGAGTTCAAGCCCCACATCATCTCATTGTTGTCAGCACAGAGCCCATTTCAGATCCTCTGCCCCTCTCTTTCTGTCCCCCCCCCCCGCTTGTGCTCTCTCAAAAATAAATAAAACATTAAAAAATAAATAAATTAAAACAAAATTTTTGGTGGCTGTGTTAATATTTAATTTAATAATGTATACACTGTACTGCATTTGGCTGCACCCCTGTTCTTAGACAATGTTTCCAGTTCTGTAGTGGAGTCGTTCAGCTGACATCTACTCATGGTCCACTCAAGGTATGATGCTGTATTGAATCTAAATAAGATTGAGACAGTCTGAATGTGCCTGACAAACTGGTGGTGTTGGCCTGCTAGAAGTCTGTTGACAAGAGGACTGAGGAGTCATTGGAAGACCTAAGAAGAGAGGGTGCTGGATATGACAAGTTTATGGGTTTGGTGGAGTAATCAGATACTATTTGTATTTTGGCATCCATTCTCATCCTTTAATTATTTTCCTGACAACAATGACTGGGTTGCTTCATTCTCGGCTTCCTAGTTGATGTTCTCAAGTGAGGATGACCACTAATCTCATTTGGATAGTGTTTCACTCTTTGCTCAGTCAGAGTTAGTATGGCTTTGGTGCCCATCCCGGTTCCTTCACCTGGGTCCAGGGCATGGAGGTCGTCTGATATACAACATGGCTTGCTTTCAAGATGCTTACTTACATCAGCAGAGACTGTGGACAGGGCGGCTGCTCTCAAAAGAGGATGTAGGCGGAGCAGGAACCAAAGAGAGAAGCATTTTCCCCTTTCCTCCAGGCTACTGTCCAGCTTTGGCACAAAGCAACTGTTGACAGAGCATTTTTGACAGTGTTCATAGAGGAGAGCAATTGGGAAGTGGCAGAAGTGTTATGGCCTGGTGGGCCTATGTTGGAGACGGTTGTTCAGCAGAGCAGCCATGAAGGGCAGAAGGGCTTGGCATGAATATCCAACAATGAGTGTCTACTATGCCCACTTTATGCTATGTCCAATGGATGATGAGAAATATAAAGCATAGCTTCTGTTCTCAAAGAGGTCATGGTAAGTATAGGTAGAAAGTTTCTAAATGTTTTACTTAAATTTTTTTTTATAAATAGAGGTAGTGGTAACTGCCCATAATATAGGTATCAACTGATCAATGGTCACTTTCTTTAACCCATTGAGCATGTCCTCAACTGATTGTTTATTTCAAGGCTACCTCTTGTAGTCCACCACACGCAACATCAGGAGTGAGAAAATTAGGCTAACAGCTCAGTAAGATTATATCAGTTTATATAAAACTTTTGTCTTACCTATCTCACTAGTTTCCTTACTGAACATTAAATATTACTTTATGATATTTATAGATATTCAAGGTAGGAAAACATATGGAAAAAGCATATGTCTTTAAAGGTTGGGAAAAAAGCAAAAATCTTAATGGTAAAAACATGAATTTTAAAATGTGTTTTAATTATAAAACATAATAAAGAAAATTTGGAAAATATAGAAAAGTAGGAAAGGTCACCTATGAGCCAAGTCAATGACAATTGGATTTTTCTGAAAATCCTTCTAGATTTGTAAATTTGATTATTTGGTATTTATTTTAGATGGTTATACTTATACTGTAAACATGAATTTATAATCTGCTTTTTAAATTAACAGTATTCATCATCTTAAAAATATAATTTTTAATGATTGTGTAACATACTTTGTAATGACTGTATAATACTACAACTAATGTACTGCTCTTTATTTAATTCTTCCCTTAAAGTCAGACTGTTGAGTATTATTGACTTTCCAGAGTATTAAATAATACTGTATTACTTATATTTGGATAAAGTCTTATCTTCTATTCTTATTTATTTCCATAGTATGGATTATTGGAAATGGATTTGATTGACCAAAGGGTTTAAAAATTTCTGAAGATCCTGACACATATTGCTTAGAAAAATATTCTAAATGGAAAGGTAGCATAGTTGGCACATTCAGTGAGGACTGTAAATTTCATAAGTAGCATAATAAACACCAAATGGAGAAAACACCATCACTGGAATATCGCCCTTAAGTCTATATAGTACATATGAGACAAACAGATGGTGTATCTTGATAATGGAAAACTTTCTTGTCCTTATTCAAATGAGTCCAGGCTATAAAAAAAGAAAAAGAAAGGGAGTAAAGATGTAAATTTGGCTTGATTAATGATCCATAATCCAGGTAGCAACTTAAAATTATAGTTCACATTTAAAACATGATGAATTTGGAAAATATCTATTATTAAATAGATAGATCTATTATTAAATAGATGTTAAACAAGACAGATAACTCACTCATGATTTCTGTTCACGCAGAACTTGTTAGATAGTTTTAGCAGTTTCAACCAAACTAAATTAACATCCGTATTTTACTAGATGAAGCAGAAGCAGTTTTGATGGGATAAAAACAGATTTATCTCTTTTAAAATCAGTTGCTAATGATTCAGTATAAAGAATGATTATTAGGTTAATGTAGCAGCATTCAGAAGAGAAATTATTTCAGTGGGTTAATGTCGTGAGCCTTCAGTTATCTTATCAACAGGGAAAATTTCAATAAATAGTACGACTTCTCTGTGCTTTGGGTTATGTGCTCTGTGCTTTTGGGTTCTGTATAGAAGCACAGAACACTGAAATGTTGCAAAACACTTCTGCTGTTTTCACCACTGAACACTAAGTGCAGATATTCTAACTTTTCCATTGATTAATTTCACATAGGGAAGCCAACAGACACACTGGAATATATTTTAAAAATTGAGATATTAGAGCTTGAGTAAAGACGAGGGCAGTAGGAATGGAGAGAAAATGATGGGAATCTAAGAACTTTTCAAGAAGAATCACTGAATCTTGGGACAGTGGGGGTAAAACGGAAGAGGTTCAGGTGCCACTGGTGATCTATTACCTGGACGATGACTGAATAGTTTCCACACAGTATCTTGGATAACTGGGTGCCTACTCTGATGAGGCAAACGATCACCTGAAGCCCACTGAGAGCTATGAGAATGGAAAACAAAATGATGTTCCACTCCACTACATGTGCAGGTTCCAGGCACTGAATCCATATGCTGGAATCTGTAAGGAAACTGACAGAGAGGAAGGATATGGTCAACAAGACTCACAGACAAGCCTGAATAATTGGTCCAAGTAAGAAGGCTACAGATGTTTGTATGTTCGGGAAATTAATACATATGATTGAAATACATAATATTACTAAATGTGAATTAATGCATTTAAAAAATCATTCAGATATATATTTCATATATATATGCATACTATATCTTACATATGTAGGAGAGAGAGAGAGAAGATATAATATGCATAGCATTGGACTGTGCTTATTTAAATATACTGCCTGCCTCAGAGATAATTTTAGTTCAGTTAGAAGGCAAGCACAGACTGACAAGTTCACTAGTAATAAAAGGCAGCATGTGTCAATACCAAGAAAGATGAAGATTATTCATTCCCTAAAAGTCCAGAAGTTAGCCTGGGCTGTCAGGGACAAGGCTGAGTTTGTGCTAGATACAAAAATCACACATGTGGCAAAATAGCAAAGGGAAATGCTGCTAGAAGTTCCTAGACTGTCCTGAAGCCCTTTCGAATAGTGGTTTTCAAACTTGAGAATATATCAGGACTATCTGGAGGGCTTCTGAAAATGCAGGTTGCAGAGACCCACCCCAGAATTTCTGATTCAGAAGATCTGGATGAGGCTTGAGATTTTGCATTTCTTTTTATTTTTTTAATTGGTTTTTTATTTATTTTAAGAGAGAGTGTGCACATGTGCGAGAGAGAATGAGTTGGGTAGGGGCAGAGAGAGGGAGAGAGAATTAGGCTCCATGCTGTTGGCGCAGAGCCCAATAAAGCATTCAATCTCACAAACCATGAGATTATGACCTGAAACAAAACCAAGAGTCAGACACCTGAATGACTGAACCACCCAGAAGCCCCAAGACTTTCCAAGTTCCCAGTGATGCTACTGCTCCTGGTTTGGAGTCCATGGTGTGGCTTTAGAACATTGCTGCTCTAATACTGTTAAGATTTAGATTTTGAAGTGGGAATGGAAATGACTGAAAGGTTCGATTAGTCTAGTTTGGCACCAGATTATGAGTATTAAACCACTCCGAAGATAATCTTAAAAGCACGCTGAATCTACCCTACTGACTTATGTTCACTTCCAGATATGCTCTGGCTATCAGCACTTCTCATAAGGGTGACACTGTTCAGCTGAACCAAAATGGAAAACTGCCCTCCTCAGAAAATTCCCCAAATAAAAATAATCAAACCTAGTTATGCGGCAGAGTTGTTTATAAATATCTTGTCAGCAGCAATATGCTTTTTCTTAAGACAGCAACTAAGGCAGCCTGGGTACTGAACAAGTGGCCTTGAGCATTGGTGTCTGTGGTAGAAAGGGATGAATTCTGCATTTTGAGGAACACCACCACCATGACTTTCTTCTCTTTGTTTTACCGTCTCCTCCCTCCATCTCTCTCCTATTCCTTTAGTTTTCTCTTTCTTCTCTTTATTTCCTACTCTCTATGCTCCAGGACACTCAGAAGCACTCTAAGAATTTCCTGGCACTGCTAATGGCCCTTGGATCTCAAGTGGCAAAGAATATTCAATATGGAACTCCATAATCTATAGGATCTTGGGCAAGAGACTGTACATCTCTGACCTCTAGAGTCTTATTTGGACAATGGATTTACTATATCTAACCCTGGGGTTAATACGAATTATTTGTTGAAAGGTGTGTAAAAATGCTTTGCAGCCTGTAAAGCATGATACGGATATAATTTTCGTTACTATTTTCCTAGACCCATTTTATACACCCTCATACTCTTAAGTCAGTCTCAGCCACCAGGAAAGCTAATTTTCAATATCCTTACTCGAGACCATTCCCAGCATGTGCTATGCACAGATCACCCAACACTTTAAAGCAAGATGACTTGCAGGGTTTTAATTTTTCTCCTGGACTATGGTGCTGTTTATTTTTCATGTAAACCACACAGTAGTAAGTACATTAGTAGGCTCTGGAAGGAATAGAGACACTTTTTCTGATAGTCCTTTCCTCCACAACCTTCATATATGGCTCTATCACAACTTTTACTTCATTATATTGTAATTTTATCTTATCTGTATCTATATCTATTCCCTTCATAAAATAGGTATTCTGAGAGCCCTGTTGTGATTTACGCATATCTGAATAGCCAGGTCTAAGACCTAAGGCAGTACCTGGCACATAGCAAAGATCAACAAAGACATGTTGAATGAAACTGATTCAGTATCCTCACCACTCACCATGTCAGTGGCTGAGCCTGCTGGCTCCCCACACCTGGGCAGATGGAGGACATCATGTGGCATAAAAGATTACACAGGGTAATGATGTTAATAATAAAATCTGGCATGTCTTAAGCGTTTATTAACTCTAATTTGTGCTTTCCTTCCATTTGATTTCAATTATATGATATAGAAATGATTAGTATCTCCCATTTAAAGAGGCTTAGGGATGTTTGTTTAAGGTCATACACTTTGTAAGAAGCAGGTGGAAGACTTAAATCCAGATGTAGAAGCATTGAAGGCTTCTGCCACAAAAAAGCTTCCCTCCTAGCATTCCATTCTGTCAGGTCTGTCTTAGCTCCTAGAGGGAAGTAAACTTGTGTAATTTATCTTTGATCCTCCAGCACCTAATTCAAGGCCTGAACATAGTAGATGCTCAATAAGTATTTGTTGCATAAATGTGCAAATGGATAACTGATTTGTAGTTAACGTTAATTTTAACATTAACACTTGTTACATCCAGAATTTGCCAAGCCTTGGAAACTTCTCTAGGAGACCAGAGACTGAACTTCCCTTCATAGCTTCCAATGTTTTACCTCCAAACATTTGTATATGGCTGGAATCGGATGAATACTACTATCAAGGGCAACTTTAAAGATTAATGGAGAGGCATGTGCGTAGTCTGAGATTCTTGTTTTGACAGGGAAGTCTTCATCGGTTTGGGTGTCGGGGAAAGTTCAGGGGATGGTGGCACAAAAAATGATTTTTTGCACCCAGTGGGACTTTCTACATTAGGTCCCCTTTCCTAAGCCCCTTATGTCCCACAGGAGTGCTCAGAGGTTATTTTCTATGTTCTCTTGACCTGAGAGAGAGCTCTGCTCAAGCATGCGGTGTTGGAAGCTTCAGAATGAATGAAGTAGTTTTGCAATGCAGGCCTAGGTGAGCATGTAAGTCTTCAACCAGTTGTGGGCCTTGAACAATGGAACCAGTCATAGGGTGTTGAGAAGAAACTGCAGCTTCCCCTAGTGACACTCCCTCAATTTATACCATTAGAATTCTGAGCACAGGACAAGACAGGGAAAGATTCAAGGAGCTTCTCCTATATCTCTGCCTGAGCCCTGCTTCCTCTAGAGCTGCTTCTGCAGGTGCTGGCAGGCCAATAAATCATGTGCTGGTAGGCACAATGTCAGTGTGAGGTGTTCTTTGGTCTAGGATTGGGTTCCCCAGCACCTGACTGAACCACCAGCCTCTAAGTAAGGCTACTTCCCAATACTCTTCTTCAATACATGCTAGATAATCTGCTGGCTCTTCCATAAATTCCTGCACCTGGTCATGTCCCTGGATATCATTCTGCACTTTGCCGCTCACCCTGCCTTGTTCTATCTCTATGTTGTCCTTGATGGCACAGCCTGAGTAACACTTTCCGTGGGTACTGTGGTTCTCTCCTGACCAAGCCCCTTCCCATCTGTAACAGACCACACATCCAAATTGGCCACAAAACAAGACTGAGTTGCTAGAACCACTTAAGTCCCAGTCTCTAGCAGTTGCCAAACCCTGATAACCACAAAGCTTTGTTTTGAAGTATGGGGAGAACACACCTTTCATCTGGATATCTCCACATCAGCCTCAAAATAGTGAATGCATATGATATTAAAAGATTGGCAAAAAAAAAACCAAACCCCAACAACAACAACAAAGAACATCATCTAACCAGAGATGTGTGTATGAGGAAATTGGTCTGAGTAGTATTAACTAATAGGAAAATTCTGTCCTAATATACCCACATAGAACCCCAGGGTGATCATGGAAAGTGAGCATAAGCATGAAGCCATGTTTCTGGTTTTCTGAGCCTCTTGATTGGGAGAATTATTCCTTACCGTCCAGCAGTGCCTTCAAAGGCATACTCCCAGCCATCGAGAGTGCGGCAGTATGGACCCTGAACAAGGCCCAGAGCAGATATGACCAGGCAGTATCCAGAGAAAGCAATTCCAAGGGCAGAAAAAATCATTGACAGCAGTGTCTAAATTAAACATAGAAGAAGAAGGTCAGTGCTATAGAATGAGACAAGGAGATATTGTGGATAAATGATCAGATAGGTACCTTCCCCTACTCATCCATGCCTACTGCAGGCTGTGTAATACCAAATGTCCACATAAAAGCGGAAACACTTAATCCAAACCCACCTGATGTTTAAAATAAGTTTTTAAAATGACTTTTTGTTTGGCATTCCACAGAGTAAACTAGTTAATTTGCTAAATTTGCCCCTTTCTTCTGGAATTTCAGTATCAAAATAACGGTCATACATTAATGCAGTGAAGGTGTGTATCAATCAATCTATATTTCTTTATTGAAGATGTTATTTTCTAGGTAGGGTGGGCTCTCTAAGAATCATTAGCTATGACATTTACTTTTCTCATGTAAAGATGATATGTGGATATTTCGTTTACATAAACATCAGGGGGAAATAGCAGTAGTCAGCCTAGATAACGATATTTATGTTCAAGTGAGGATGGTATTGATGGGGAGGAAGGTGTTTTCATTTGAGTAGAGAGAATGAGCAATGTTCACAGGCAGATGGGTACAAGCAGAGTTGAAAGGATAAGATGACTGGTCTGATCTAAGAGAGGGCTCCTACAGAGCATCAGAGGGGACACGTTTATGAAGACCAGCTTGACATGGATTGCTAATGCTGGGGAAATGAGGTTATTGGACATGACCCAGCCCTTGAGTTGCTTACAAAATGAGTGCAACTTGTTATATCCAGTAGCATTTCATTAATTTTTTTTTTCAAATATATCAACAGGCTGAATGTCAATATACAGAGGCTGAACCTCTGTATATTCTTTATCTAGACTCACCTTCTGTGAATATTTTACCATTTTTGCTTGCTCTCTCTCTTTCTCTGTATGTGCATGCATATATACATGCACATTTATTTATTTATTTATAATTTTTATTGCTGTACCCCTTGAAACTAGGTTGTAGATACTGTGATATCTCACACCTAAATGCATCAGTACATACCACCCCAAAATAAAGATATTCTATTATTTTACAACTGGTTTTTAGTTTTTTGTACAGGATTCAATGAAGGTTTATGCACAGGGTTACATCTCTTTAGTTTCCTTTAATCTACATTAGTTTTGCTGTCTTTTAGTTTTTTAGAATAGTAAACTGTTTTTGAAGAGTCTCAGCCAGTTGTCTTATAGAATGTCCCACAACCTGGGCTTTTCTGATTGTTTCCTCCCAAACGGACTTAGGTTCAACATTTTGTCAAGAACACCTGCTGGGTGTGCATCATGGACCTCTCACTGCTATTGGTGATACTTTTGTTGATTGGTGATGTTGGGGTGATGTTTTTCAGATCCATAAACATATGCCACTTTGCATTTAGTAAATAATTTGTAGGGTAATACTTTGAGACTGTGTCATATGCTATTCCCTAAGGACATTTCAACTAATGGATTTACCATCCGCTGATGATCCCCGCTGATGATCCTCATATCCGCTGATGACCAATTATCACAATGACTGATTGCAGGGTGCTGCTTCTCTATCATTTCTTCTGCATTTTTAACTTACTATTATTGTGGACTCATGGATTTTCTAATTCAATGTGTTATAATTCATAACCGTTATTGTTCTTTTAGATGCTCATTTGTTCCAAATATGGCCAGTGTGAACATCCTGTTAAGACAATGCCTGTACCCTTTGGATACCCCTGTCATTCCTTGAATACCTCCTTGCTTCCTGGAACAAAATGTACCAAGTTCATTTTGAATTGATAAAGACCCAGAATAGCTCTTTTTCCAACAAGCCATGTACTTGATTTTTGAGCAAGGAAGTGACATGAGCAAATATATAGTTTTGAAAGATGGCTCTGGCAACGATGGCATGCTAGCTGGAAGTGAGAGAGTCCAAGATAAGGATTCCAGGTGGAGACATCCTTAAACTGAGGTGACAAAGAGATGCACTGGAGGAAAAGACATTGGGACAGAAATAGGTAGCTGGAGACGGATTGAAAGAAAAATTCCAGAGTTTGGGACTTGAACAAAAAGGACAGAAATAGGGATGCCAAGTAGGGTAGTTTGATTTGGGAAACAATTTAATCTAGCTTTAAAAATGTTGCTTTCAAATGAGAGGAGAGAGTAGTTGGTAGTAAATTCAAAATCTGAAACTAGAAAAACTAAGGACAAACACCCTGTGATTTTTTTGGAACAAAAGTAATCTAAAGTCATATATTTCAAATAAGTTAGCATTATTTTACTGATTAATAACATTAATACATGCTCATTATGAAAAATCAGACAAATATACTTTAAAAACACAAGGAAGAAAAGAACAATTCTGTTTTACCTATTTGGTATTATTTCATTGACATCTTTACATATGATTAAAAGATCTTTCAAATTATATTTTTCACATTGATCTTAATAGAATGTTGCCCCATCATGGGATGTGATAAACACATCCACCTTTTTTTTTAAACAGTAGATTACTATTCATTACACTTTATAAAGAAAATTTACCTATTCACCAACACAATCTTCCAAAAAGGAAGAAGGATGTTTTGAAAAGATTGAGCTCCTTGTTTACCAGATGTGTTCTTAAGCAGTTCACTGGAAAGATCAGTGAAGAATTATTTCATTTGGGGAAACTGGCAACCATAGAATAACACATATGCTTGTGTACATATATAAATTACAGTCTAATGAGTGGATACCATTGCACAATCCAGAGAAGCCTCAATATAAAGCCAGAATAAGAATCTCTCTGAGTTACAGTTTCATTTTCTATAAAATGTAAATGATGTAGATGATTATAGTACCTCCATAATAGGGCCATTTCAAAATTAAAGGACACAGTGGATATCAAAATTATTTGAAAAGTGTAAATATAATTAAAATGTTATCTATTATTCCAAGTGCCTTGATTTAGCTGAGACTTGTTTCCAGGGATAACAACCCACAGGATTTGGGCATAAAATGAGGCTCCACAGAAGAATGAAGAGCAAACAATAAGATAATGGGGTGCAGGTCACCCCCAAAATATGGCACCTTAGCAGAGTGAATATCTTAAACTGAAAGGAGTTCAAGAAAATGGCAGAAGCAGGATGGTCATTCTGACACCTCCCCACCCTTCTCTGAAACAGGTCACAAAACTGACATGTGCAAGTTACCCTCTCTGTACCAGGAGGAAGGAAAACATTCTTATCAGCAGAGACAGGGAATTTGGGGCCAAGAGACCTGTATAAACAAACCTTGATAAACTAAACTTTATCTTCCTAGTCACTTATTCACCATTTACTACCTCTAGTCCCAACCCCCCACTCTTGCCAATTCTTGACAAATTCATTGCTGTTTCTTTGTCTAAAAGGCATAGAAACTTGCTACTCTGACTTCTTCAGGTCTTCATTCTCTTGTGAAGGCTCCCATGTACACGTAAAAATGTAGTTAAATGTATATGCCTTTGTCTTGTCAATCTGTCTTTATCAGTTTAATTCTCAGACTGAGCCAGGAAACCCCAGGAGAGCCGAGTAAACTTTTTTCTCCCCTATGGTTTCTGCCACCCAACATTGGGCACACTGGCCAGGGACACCTTGCTTGGTACAGGAGCTACAGTTAGAGATCCTGGATCTCTGACAAAAACCACAGAAGAATTCTTGCCATATCAGTCGCTTGGATCTCTGCCTGTGGAGGACTGGTTGAGTAGGTGCTAAGAGTCTTTTCCCTTTCAGATTCAGATTGTCAGAAGAAAAACATTGTAAAAATTGGTTTTTTGGATTGTTAACTCTGGTTAAAATTTGGTCAAGTCATCCGTTGGTTATTGATCCTTTCCCTCCCAGACAGCTATTGTTTTCCTGTTTGTCTCTTATTTGAGCTCTGAGAATTTGGCTTGACTTCTGACCGACAGGGCATGTGAATGTCAGTTCTTGGAGGCAGCCAACTGTCAGATTGGGCCCCGAAGAATACGCCATACAGAAATTGAGTTGCACACCGCTTGTGGCTAGTGTCCTACCAACTGTCACTAGCTCTCAGGAGGACTGGTCTAGGTCTTTCTTTTGCTAATCTTTGGGAGTGGTTCTAGATCTTGAGAGGACTGCATTTTTTGCATCCTCTTTGGGGACATCTTTTGCATTCATGGTTAAGTACTGGTTTTGTTTTGAGTCACTTGATAGAGTTACTTTTGATTTAAATATTTGAAAGCCTTTTTTTTTTAAGAGGCTCTATGGTCAGAAGTTGGCCAAATTGAAAATTCATATCCAGATCCTAATAGAGACTTTTAAAGTCAAGACCATCTTTCCTAAGCTGAAACGGAGCCCTGTACTTGGTGGGGAGAAAAGATTCTGAAGGCTTTGTGAAATAATGATGAAAATATTAGAAAGATATACCACTGTAAATCTAGAATATAGAAAATGTTTGGCGTCCATCTTAGTTGAAAATATTCTCCCTGATATAAAGAAGCAAATTGAAGATGACATAGTTGGATGGGTGGGCCAGTCTCTTGATATTCAGGCTGTGACCCAATTCCTTGAGGAATTAAAAACCAGCTCTCCTTGTCAAATCCTCAAACCTATTCATCTTGAAATGACTATAGATATTATAAAAGATCAGGACATTGGAAACAGAATTGCCCTGAGCTTCAATAAAAGAGGAAAAATTTAAATAGTAATTATTCTAGACCTCTTGATAATAAGACAAATATACCTCCAAACTCCTTCTGAAAGGAAATCTACATTCTGCATCTCTAGGAGCTATAACTCTTACCATGTCTTTGAAATGTAAACATCCCAGGAGATAATTAAAACACTGCTCACAATTGCCTGAGACTGAAGGAGTGTGGGGGAGGGAGGAGTTTAAAAAAAAACCAAACTGCTATAGAAACTCCTTCACCCCAAAATCCAGTCCACCAACCTCATAAGATGACTTGTCAAGGGTAGATAAAAATCTTAACAGTCTTCTCCACAAATAATAGTAAAAAGCTTTAGCCATCTGGATTGGTAGCCATAATTTGTTTTACCAGAAACATAATATGGACTCATTTATAAACTAGTGAGTTCTGTGTCAAAACAAAGTATGGAAGATCTCTGTGTCTGTCTATATGTTTATTTATGTCTATATATGAATGTTACAGATGTGTGATATTTTCCTACCTTCAGATGATATTACCAAAATAAATTATAAAATCTCTCAAAAGCGAGATTGGAGTACAGATAAGTGAGTGTTCATATAAATTAAGTATTCTTAAAACTCTCAGAAACACAGAGACTAAACAAAAATTAAGTTCACAAGATCTAGGATAATCTTCAGTAAATAAACCTAGTTTTAAAATTGTTGGTGAAAAAAACCTAACAAGCATATCTTTAGAGTTGTCATCATTAAACATAATACAATCATACAATTTTTTTCTATCTAGGATTACTAGTCAAAGAAACGTATATTATCTCTACTATGTGTTTAAGAATATAAAACTATAAATTCAACCTAAAACCAAAGTCTACAGTAAAAATAAATTGCTGAATGTATGTCAAGTACAGCAGTTGAGAGAAAGAGATAAAACATATGTTTAACTTTATAGGTGTTTCATTTCTATGGTGTTTGATGCTTGCCTACTATACATAATTTACAAAGTTTATCAACAAGAAAGATAACTTCAAATGATAGCTAACTTTGTCTATTGTGTCAGGAAATTTTCATAAATAATCTAAATAATCTAAGTGTTCAGAGCAAGTTAAATACATGTGTGTTAAAAGTTTAATAGTGAATTTTTCAACAAGTTACACTTGTTGAAGTGTAACTAGTTTTTTTTTTACACTAGTTTTAAATTAGCTTCCAAAATTTTTTTGCTACCTTGAAACTTTCAAGTTATACTGTGTTAAGTTAAATGATGGAAATCAATTGAATAAGTAGATCACTTCCAAAAAAATAAATTACTGAAACACTGCTTACTGAACATAAGTTTACCTACTTTTGTCTTTCTATTAGGGAAGAACTAAAGATATTTGGGTCTGTGAGTATATGTCTTGTGCCACACTGAAAAATCATACTATGAGGATATATATGCTTTAGAAATTATGAAATAGCATATTCATGAATTTGCCAATCAACAGAATGTTGATATAGAACACTTCACAATTGTTTACTTCCTGGTTTTCCCTTGAAATTAAGGTTTCTAAAAGGTAAGAATTCTAATGAATATATGTGATTAAAACTACTAAAAAATAAAATAAAACTTCTAGAAGTAATAAGGGAACAATTCTATACAAAAAAAGAAGGATGTATTTTGGTTTTTTAAAAAAGGTATGTAGTTTGGTTAAAAAATAAAGAGATACGGAGATGTGTTTTTGTTAAGGAGAAAGGAAACTTTTGAGGAAAACTTTTTCTCAACTGTAGAGTGAATCAATTTCCATCACATAGCTTCAAGCAGTTGCAAACCGGTGCAGACACACATTTAGCCTGCAAGATGTGCTTTATTTAATTTAAATGAGAATCAATTACCAACATAACTGAGAAGTTTTACATAAAACTCCATATTTCTACTTCATATTGAAACCTGAGAAACATTGTCCAGTATTGTCTGATAACTTTGGCTGGACTTGAGTAATGGCTTCCTCTCTTCCTTAAACAGAAATCTTGCTCTAATGCCTACCAGGCTCACTTCTTTTCTTTTCAGGAAAAGATATGCCCCAGGTATTTGATTCCTGGGGGCATATAAACTGGGACCCTATTCTAAAGCCTACTTTGAAAGAGCCAAGGTAGGCAATCCAGGGAATCCTCCCTCCTTTCTCCCTGCTCTTTCTTTTGAGATGCTAGCCATCTTATTCAATTTGATTATAGGACCCTGTCCAGACTCCACACTGTTTATAACATCCATTTGTGCTGGAGATGCTAAAAGTGAGTCATGGCAAAATGGACACCTTTATTTTTATTACAAACTTAATGGCACATGGTTTGTTTTCTAGAGATTCCCTGAGTATCATAGGTCCATGTTTACCCGAATCTACTGCTTCACTTAACCCATTTTACAAGTGTTTCCATAAGCATAATGCCAGCAGTTATGGGGAATGCTCGAGTCAGTTGGTTAAGAAAACACATGCACATAACACATATGTGCATGCATGTGCACAGAGTACATTTCAGTTTTTCAATTCTTCTCCTCCAGAAGCACAGTTCTAAATTGAACAGCTACTTAGTCGTCCAAAAGCATCTGTCAAAGAAAGCCAGCCATGCCATCTTGGCCGCACATTAAAATCTGACTGCACCTTGGACCAACTAGGTCAGGGTGTCATCTGGGGGTTGGATTCTAGCTCCAAGCCCTCAGATGATTGCAATGTGCAGCCAAGGTGGGCAACCACCATTGCAAGATACGCCTACCAGGTCTCTAGTAAAGTCTTTCTTAGTTAACACATCACATGTTCTCTCTGAGCCACAGATAACTCATATAAAGTATGGGTAACAATAATCCAATTCACTGGGTAAGTGTGAAAAAACTATAAAGTGCAACACAAATAAGATTCAAAGCTAACCTTGAGGAGGAGAAGAAGAATGATGTAAATGTAGGAGCCCACCACCTGCCTGTTGAGAACAGGCTTAGAAAATTTGGTTGTATTATTCTCTCTTGATTCTATTTAAATTATTTTTAAAGTCCCAGTTCAAAAAATGTACATCACATATACCTAACACATGGATAAATCTAATCTTTATGCTGAAGGAAGCCAGATGCAAGAGACAGATACTGCATAATTCTATTTACATTGAGTACAAGCTAATCTATAATGACATGAAGCAGGTCAAAGATGAATCTCTTGGGGCTGATGGGAGTGTCCTGTGTTTTGATTGTGATGGTGGCTTCATGAGTATGTTCGGCTGTCAAAACTCAAGGTATTGTACAATTTTAACGCATGCCATTTATTTGTGCAAATTTGTTCTCAATAAAGTAGAAAAAGGGAAAAAAATAAACTCACAGAAAACCAGTTAGGAAAAGGTAGTATTATTTTCTAATTTCATGTATCTTTAAATCCTGAACTTCTGGAAGAACACCAGCAGGACAAAGGTGGAGGAAAGACTGTAAACAAAATGGAAGATAATTTTTTTGAGGAAACTTGGGTTCTGAATTGAAAAGATCACGGAGAGGGTAAAATAGTGTCAATATTTTCATGTTTCTGAGTGGGCCAGGGCTCCCCTCAACCATCCTCAAAGTACTATTGCTCTTACCATGTAGTTTTTGCTGCAGTTCTCACTCTGGCAACATTTGCAATTGTTATCATTCTCCAGTACAAGAAGAACTACTGCTACCATAAGCATCTGTAGTAGGAAAGAGGAGATATCAGAAATGGAATACTAGTCATAATCAGAGCACAGTGATTCAGAGCAGAGACTCTGGGGTCAAGTGGACCTGGGTTCGAATCCCACATCTGCCATTTCCTAGCAGTGTGAAGTTGAGAATCCTTACCTGTAAAATGGTTCTGAAGACTCACTTCTTTGGGTTGTTATAAGGTAATGTATGTAAAATTTTGAACATAGAGCCTGGTTTATAGTTAGTGATTGATAAACGTAAGCTATTATTATCCTGGTTATCAGTTATCAAAAGCTAATGATTAAGCAGCAAACGGTATGGACATGGGAATACCATCCTGGGCAGCAAATCCACATTTCTCACTCACTCAGTTGTGGAGGTCAAAGGAAAATCATTCACCAGACTTTGCTGTTTGCCAGCCTCTCTCCATTTACTGCCCTCTGAAAATGGAGGTGAGAGGCATGTTTAATCTGAAACTACATGTCTTGGGATGCCTGGGTGGTCTGTTGAACATCAGACTTCTGCTCAGGTCATGATCTCCCAAGTTTTGAGTTCAAGCCCCACATCAGACTCTGTGCTGACAGCTGGAACCTGGAGCCTGCTTTGGATTATATGTCTCCCTCTCTCTATCTGCCCCTCCCCCATGCTCATGCTCTGTCTCTCTCTCTCTCCCCCTCAAAAATAAACATAAAAAGTATTTAAAAAAGAAAAAGAAAAGAAATTGAAACTACATGTCTTAATTCAAAGTAAAGTCAGTTTAATTTCCCCAAGCATTCAAACCATCTGAGGTTCAAATTTTTTAGTGTGCTTTGTCTCTATCAAGCCAACAGGCTGGGAGAGTTCAATGTATTCTATCTACTTCCCTTTCTTGGTATCTTAAGCCAAAGGCTTAAACTCTGGAAAGAACATAGGTTTATTTATTGTTACAGTTCCTGGTTTGAGAATGGTATGGACCGTGAATTGCTTCTGGCAAATTCTCCACCTATCCTTCACTCTCAACATTTAGGACTTGAATCCTGAAGCTGAATTCATTGCTATTTTACTATGTGTACTCAACAATTCCAGTTTCCAAATTCCTTCAGCTTTCATTTGTCTGTTTATTTATTTATCTAATTCCTCTTCTTTCTCCTAAAAAGACTCAATGCAGTAACAATAATGTTTTTCAAGAATTCCTTCACCATGGAAAATAGAGAACAAGTTCTTTCTCGTGTTTTAAATTTTACACGGAAAATAAACAAAAGAGTCCCATATTCTCTTCCTTTCAACACCATTAGGTATCACAGAGTTTAGTAGATTCTGGCATTAATCTTAATAATGCCTTGCAACTGGTCTATTTATTACAATTACATACTGAGGGAAACAACGGCGAGAGAAGGCATGGTATATCAGGTATAGTAACGGCTTCATTCCAATATTAGTAGAAATCATTAGATCTAGACCCTGGAGCCCTTTGTCAAAAGAGAAATACAGGCATTTCCCATGTTGAAAGAGAAACTGCTTTCTTTTTTCATTGTAAAACTATAACAGAAATACAGGGCTCAAGCATAATAAAGGAAAATTACCCCAAATCCTACCACCCTCACGTGTTTTTAGGTATTTACTCTATGTTTTACCACACATGTATATTTTACATAGTTGCAATAGTAATTTGTTCACAATTTTTGTATCTTTTTTTTGCCTAACACCAAATAATATGCATTTTCCATCTTCAAAATTATAATTTTCATCACCATATGAAGTGAATATACCACAATTTACTTGGCCAATTCTATGCTAGGGTGCTCCTACTAATTATTTACTTGTAAATAACGCTGCCAGAAATATCTGTGCATCTCTTTCCTTATTATGCATTATTTCCTCAGAATGAATTTTCAGGCATTTTCATGGATCTTAATATAGCATATCAAAATCTTCTCCAAAAGGTTTTCATCTATTTATAGTCTGATCACCAAACATTCATTATGTACCTATCACATAGCAACTTTAATAGCATTAGGTATTAATACTTTAAAGTTGATTAACTTACTATGCAAAGTAGTAACTAAAGGAAAACTGCGTTTCATCGTAGCTATTCAAATACTAAAGTAATTAAACATCCACAAAGATGTAAAGATAAACTATAATGCATTTTCTTTTCTATTATTGAAGGTATGATAAGCTTACAGTGCACAATGTGCTGTTTTTAGAAATGACATGATCAGGAAAAGTGTTTTTTCCTCTCAGTTGCCAGCATGATTTACTGTCAGTTTGTTTTTAAAGAGCACAAAGTCATCAGGAAAACTTTCATGGATTCTTACTGTAAATAATTCTATTTAGTTTTCAAAAACATGCTCCATTATTAGGGGTAAAATATCAGATTATTTCATGATGATATGGCCCATCATCAAGTATTTATAATCATAATATTCACTGACTTCCTATGATGTATCAGCCTCCATCCTGGGCCCTTCATTCATGAGATTTTATCAAATCCCCACAATTATCCTAAAAAGTAAATTCCATTACTCTCATTTTCCAAATAGGACACTGAGGCTCAAAGACACTGAGTAACTTGTTCAAGTTCTCATGGCACAAATGGCAGAGCTTATATCTGAACGCAAATTTGTCTCTCTAAATCTCTGCTATTTCCACACGATCTCAATACCTCTCCAATCTAGAGAAATCATGAGGGCAGATAGAAGCTATTCTGGAAAAGAGCAATGCCACTGGAAATTAAATAGCTTAAACCCTCACACAGGGCTCATGAGGACATAGTATTTCTACAGGCCAGCATCCCACAAACTTTCAATCAGACTAATTTCCTGCATTGCATAAATGGGCAGTTTACCGAAAACAAAGCTTCCCTCCCAAGTCCTCACGGACTACCTGCCTTTCTACCCCCACCATCTTCCAAATCCCAAACCCAGGATTAGTAGAATGACTTTTCTGTTATTCATCATTTCTGCTAGGAACAAGACAGTTTTTTAGTAAATACACCCCCTTTTGTAATCCCAGGTCTCCAAAGTCACACTTACCATGACACCTGAGAAACAGATTCCTTCAAAATACCACACGTAGTTGGTGAGTTTATTGCTGGATGCATACGAAGTTTGCCCATTTGGGAAATACAGTAATATATTCACAATTATACTCCAAAGTGCAAGCGGAATCAGCAGACCACTTAGGCAGCCTCCACATTTCCGAGACCCCATTTTACCCTGCTCAGAACCTGCAGGAGATTTCAAGAGTGTAGCATTACATAGAGCCCAATTTTCTTCCTACCTGTCCTTTTTTTTTTTTTTTCCTCTTTGAGATTACCTACCACTTTCTGGGTCAGAGCCCTTTCTTTACTTCATATTCATGAGAAGCCCAGGACTCAGCCAGAACTGCAGCTCACAATCTCTTGGTATGAAATAGTGGTTTACTGTTGGGAGAACAATAGACAATGAACAACGGCTGAAGAGCTGAGCTGGTCTTCATCCTGTGCCAAAGGAATGTGGTGTTTTTACTGCATTTTAAAATAAGTCATTTTCCTCTGGATTACAACACTGAAGACTTAACCCTAAGCATAATTTTAAGAAGGAAGTTGGGGCTGTGGGGGGTTGGAATTGAATCTGGCAAATTTCATCCAACAGTGAACAAGAGAGTTTATATTATAGCCTAGTATGTGGTGTGCTTGTTCAAATATCCTGACTTTATATATCAGCCCTTTATTCAATGTTCTTTATTTTGTGCTCACTATCACCAAGCTTTATTCAACCTGCAGGGGCCACAAAAAGGACAAAGAAAGAGACAGGCTGGTGGGCGAGAAAAACAAGATAGTGCTGTTGGTGAGTTTACCAAATACTGGTAAAGCTTTCCTTCCAAGAGTTCATTCCTGTTATTTCTATCTCTCTGAAAAATAATAACAAAAATAAATTCATATATTTCTTACTGCTCAGGAAAATGGGTAAAAGAATTGGGGTAATTTAATAAAGTCTTTATCAGCAATAAGTTTGAAATAAGGATTTAAGAATTCTCCCTTCCAAATGATTGCCTTAAATTGAAAGAGCCACAGATCCTCTCTAATTAGGATGGCATGAGGAAAGGATTAAGGGAAGGAATTCTGGCACTAATATGTTAAAAATGATGTAGACATGTGGAAACTAATTTGACAATAAACTATTTGTAAAAACAAATATGCTAAAAAAAAAAATGATGTAGACAATGGTGGTAAGGAACTCAAGGATTGTCTGGCCTCACTGCCACCCTTTTCTATTGGTAACATCAGAACTCTGCTCAACTTAATTAAGCCTCAAGTTCCTCATCTATGAAATGGGAATGTGGAGATTAAACAAGATTATATCACATGTCAAGTGATATAGAAGGAATAAGCAATAAATGGGAGCCATCAGTAGTAATAAAAAGAGATGAGGCATCTGTGTGGCTCAGTTGGCTGAGCATCTGACTTCAGCTCAGGTCATGATCTTATGGTTCATGAGTTTGAGCCCCCATGGGGTTCAATGCTGTCAGCTCAGAGCCTGCGTGGGATCCTCTCTTCCCCTCTCTCTTTTCCCCTCTCCTGCTTGTATGCATGCACTCTCTCTCAAAAAAAAAAATTAAAATAATTGTCAAAATAGTACAGAAATCAGAAGTAAAGTCTGTTTACTTATCCTCTCTTGATACTCAGAGTATCTGTATCATGAGCTCTTAAATTCTTCATCCCAGAGTGTTTACATCAATTTGTTGGTATCCTCCAGAAAGTATTGATATTCTAAAATACACATACTTTTAATTCAAAAGAATAAAAACTTATTTTATGTAAATAATTTTAAATTTAAAATTTTAAATTTAAACAGTACTTATTTTCAAACATCTCAATGTTTGAACCACTTTTGGATTCAAATAAAACAAACCTAGAAACTAACAGTCTTATTCTATGATGAGTTCCAAGGAGATTTCTTGGTACCCCCTGATGAATGTGATTTTTTGTTTTGTTTTGTTTTGCTTTGTAGAGTGTTTTCCAGCAAAGTACATCACAAAGTCCTGTCATTAAATCATTTTTTTCCCCAGGGACATAGAAGCAAACTAAAATCATATTTACTAGAACCCTTGGGATGATGGGGAGAGCAACAGTTTTGGCTAAATATTTATTGAGCACCTCCTATGTGTGAGGCACTGTTCTAAGAGGTGGGGAGAGATGGCTCCATGAACACAATAGTCCAAAATCCTTGCCCTTGTAGAGCTTACAGTCTACTGTGGGGAGACTAACAATAAAAAAAAAAAAAAATTACAGCTTGTCAGGTAATGATAAGTGTGGCTAAAATAAATCAAGAAAAGGGTAACTAGGAGAGCCAAGAATGGGGTTGCGGATATCATTTCAAACAGAGTGGTCAGGAAAGACTTTCCTGGGAAGATGACATCTGAGTAAAGATTTAAAGGAAGTGGAGAGTGTGAGCCATGCAGGGAAATTGGGGGAAAGCATTCTAGTCAGAGAGAATGGCAAGTGTGCAAAAACCCTGAGGTAGAAGTAAATTCTGGCAGAGACCACTGGGGCTGGAGCCAAGTGTAAGAGGGGAAAAGTACTAACATCTGAGATTAGTTCTGAGTAGGAAAATGACTTGCCACATTAAAAGGCTCACCAGGGCTGCTATGTTGTGAATAGGTTGTAAAGCATCCAGATGAAAGAAAGGAGATGAGTTCTGAAATCATGTCACTAACCCAGGTAAGAGATAACAGTGGCTCAGACCATGACAGAGGAAGCAGAGATGGTAAGAAAAGGTTGGATTCTGCAGGTATTTTTTTTTATAGCTTATTTATTTTTGAGACAGAGAGAGAGAGACAGACACGAGTGGCGGAGGGAAGGGAGAGAGGGAGACACAGAATCCGAAACAGGCTCCAAGCTCTGAACTGTCAGCACAGAGCCGAACGTGGGGCTCAAACCACGAACCATGAGATCATGACTTGAGCTGAAATTGGACACTCAACTGACTGAGCCACCCAGGCACCCCATGCATTTATTTTTTTTAAGGATTTTATTTTAAGTAATCTCTACACCCAATGTGGGGCTCAGACTCATAACCCTGAGATCAAGAGTTGCATGCTCTACTGACTGAGCCAGCCAGGTGCCCCTCTATGTATTTTTAAGACAAAATCAACAGTATTTGGTGACAGACTGGACTGGATATAAGAGAGACAGAGGCATCAAAGATGACTATGTGTGTGTGGGGGGGGGGGTGCCTGGGTGGCTCAGTAGGTTAAGCATCTGACTTTGGCTTAGGTCATGATCTAGTGGTTCATGAGTTGGAGCCCCGCATTGGGCTCTGTGCTGACAACTCAGAGCCTGGAGCCTGCTTTAGATTCTGGGTCTCCTTCACTCTCTGCCCCTCTCCCACTCATGCTCTCTCTCTCTCTCAAAAATAAATTAAAAAATGTTTTAAAATTTTTTGAAAAAAAGAAGGCTACATGGTTCAGGGCCCAAGCAACTGGAAGAATGAAGCTGTCATTAACTGAAATGAACAAAATAGGTTGAGCAGGTTTCGGAGGGAGAAGATGATGTGGTAAGTTTCAGACATTCTAAATTTGAGATACCTATTAAAATCCAAGTGGAGATGCCAATTAGGCAGTGGATATGCAAATATGAAGTTCAAGGGAGAGATGTGGGATGGAGTATATGAGAGTTGTCAGCATTTGAATGGTATTTAAAGCCATAAGACACTATGAGAATAAGTGTAGACAGAAAAGAGGCCCTAGGACTAAGTCCTGGGCAGTCCAGTGAATACAATTTGGGCAAATGAGAAACTCGGGGGGCCTGGGTAGCTTAGTCGGTTAAGCGTCCGACTTTCGCTTAGTTCATGATCTCGCAGTTCATGGGTTCGAGCCCCCCATCGGGCTCTGTGCTGACTGCCAGCTCAGAGCCTGGAGCCTATTTCAGAGTCTGTATCTCCCTCTCTCTCTGACCCTCCCCTGCTCACGCTGTCCCTCTCTCTCCTAGAAATAAATAAAAATGAAAAAAAAATCTTAAAAAAAAACATTTGGGTGAATGAGGAGGAGCCAGCAAAGGATACTGGGAAGTGTCCAGTGAGTTAGAAGAAAAACCAGAAGCTTATCCTAGAAGTTGAGTTTCTGCTGTGGGAGAAAGTAAACAAGTGAGTCAAATGTTCCCTATATAGCAAGTAATATGGGAGGACTGAGAGTTAGCTATTGGATTTGACAACATGGAGGTCACCAATGACCTTAATAAGAGAAACTGGTGGTGCGATAGACATAGGAGTTGAACTGGAAAGGGTTCATGAGAGAATGGAAAGAGAGAAATTGGAAACAGAGAGAGGGGGAGCTCTTCTGGAGTTTTACTCCAAGGAGAGCAAAAAAATGAGGCAATAGCTGGAGGGAAAGCGGAAGTCAGGGGAAAAATTTAATGGGAAGAATTATAGCATGTCTGTACACTGATGATCATGTTCTTGTTGGGAGTGGGGGAGGAGAGGTGGGGTTTGATGATGCAAGAGAGAAAAGAGAGAATTGTTGGAAAGTGTCCTGAGTAAATGAGATGGGCTGGGAGCATGCACACAGATGGAGGGGATGGTCTTAACAGCCTGGGCACTTCAGTTGTACTCACAAAAGGGAAGACAGAAGAGATGGAATTGGAAGTAGTGGAAATTTCTGATTGCTTTTGTATTCTCGGTGAAACAGGAAGCAGGTTTATCAGCCAAGAATGAGAGTGGGAGAGAGTATTAAAGGTTTGGACAGAGAGAAAAAGGTATGAAACAGTTGCCTAGGATGGTGGACAGTCTAGAGCAATGTGGCAGGATCACCAGCAGGCAGGGAGGGCCCAATGAGGCCATGAATTTATAGTAAGACTAGGCATCATAATTGAGTATTTTTTCTAGTGAAGTTCACCTCCAGAGGTGCAGGCAGAGTAGAAAGAAAGCTGGAATCACCAGGATTTGGACTTTGCCAGGCAAGTACCATGAACAGAGAGGGGCAGAGGAAACAAGAATGTATGTAAGAGTGATTACAATGATGGACTGTGGAACTCAGTGCAAGAAAGGAGGCAAGTAAGTATGGACATGAGAGAATGTGAAGAACAGTAACAAAACAAAACAAAACAAAACAAAACAAAACAAAACAAAACAAAAAAGAGGTTGGATTTGGAGTTTGTGTCCCAGTGTGGTTGAAGAATTACTGATTTGGGGTAGCAGAAAGAGAAAGAGGTGGAAAGATAGAATTTATAAACCAAGAAGTGGGATACTGGAATTTGAGATTAAGATGTTTCCAAAATTGATGAAGATAAAGTCTAAAGGTGTATTATGGGCTGAACTGTGTCTCCTCAAAATTCCTATGTTGAAGCACTAAATCTTATAACCTCAGAATGTGACTATATTTGGGAGATGGGCCTTTAAAGTGGTAATTAAGTTAAAACAAGGCTGATAGGATGGTCCCTAATCC